GATCCTTGTTCATGTGAAATTCTGGGAGGGTTTTCAGTCAGGGAAGAGGTAAGAGATTCGATTTTGAAGAAAATAACAGAAAAAGATTTTGAAAAATTGATGGTGTTTTAAAAGCCATAAAGGCCTGTAAAACCATCCTGTGTCTACCCAGACTATACCAATTCTAACAGAACTAGTGTTTGATAGCATTCTGGTGGCCCAGTGGCAAGACGCTGCCCAGCAATCCTGAAGGCACACAGTCTGAATCCACCGGAGAAAGACCGGCAATCTCCTCCCGAGCGATTAACTGCCTCTGAAGACCCACAGGAGGGTCAGCTGTGGGTTGGTTCCGACTCAGTGGTACCCAGCAACAACACAGTATTCATCAGATTAGCCCAATTCCCTACTGACAACCCCCCCCCCCCATTTTATTCCGTGAAGCAGTCATTTCTTGGGGTTGAAGGTAGGACAGGTAGCTTCCAGCAGGCTTCCTAGATGCAGTGTCTGTGATTGTTGTTGGTTGCTCTCTGGGTGATTCAGACTCACGACCACCCTTGTGTACACAATAGAACTGCCAGGAAACCGCAGGCTTTTCAAGTCTGCAGTCTCTTGACAGTCGATTGCCCAGCCTTACTTTTGAAGTAGAGTATGTCTGGGTGGGTTCAAACTGCCAAAATGTCAAGTCAGTAGTCCAGCGCTTGCATTTGCACCACCCAGGGGCATCTGTCTAATAGGAGAAGGTTACTGACATCATTTTGAGGCCTGTCTAATAGTTAAACCAGATGTTTTCCTTTTTGTTTCATTTTTAGAATCAAAGGTGAGGTGTCCTCTTAAGGCCCATCTGTACCACTCGTCCCTCACTTACCCCACACCTCACAACACTGTCAGAAAAAGAGCCTGAAAACTTAGATGCTGTTATGTTTCCCTCAATGACGCTTGCATGATTCTCCACTTTCTGGAATCCATTCAGCTCTCTGATCCAAGTGCTGTCTGAGGGACTGACAGTTTCAAGGTGCTCTTAATCTTTATCTTCTCTTCTGACCATCTGTCAACTGCTTGAAGACTAAGACTTCCTGCTGTCCTCCCCCTTTGTAGGGTCAGCTGCAGGGCCTGTGGAATGAATGAATCAGTGAATGAATGAATGAATCAATCAACCGCAAGTCAGCAGTGACTGGTGATTTTGAGTGTTATGTGGCCATCACTGCTCTCTGGGGGTTTTGTGGATCAGCTGGAGTACTAGGTGAGAGAATTTGGGGTGGGGTGGGATCTAGCCAGGGATCCTTGAGGGTACATCCATGCCTGTTCATCCCTAGTTCAAGCCTAGCTTTGATTTGTAATCTTCAAGTTTTGTATGTGATCATCACTGCCCAGGGGTGTAAACCTGTAGACCTGGAATTCTACACTCAGTAAATAATTTAATGATCAGTTATTTATAACCAAGGAGACTTCCTAGAGGGACAGAGAGGCCTGCCTGGAGCCACGTAGCTGCTTCCTCACAGAGCAGGGAGGAGAACACAGACTTCCTGAGCCCAGCACTCTCCCTACTTGGCCATGCTCTGTTCTCCATCCTGAGCCTTACTTAGAGTTCATCCTTTTCCCTTCGAGGATGCTCAAAACCTTCATTCTGTATACGACACAACCTTGCTTGCTCAAAATGAAAAGGACTTCAAACACTTGCAACAGAAGATTCAGCACTACAGCTTTCAATGTGGATTTACATCTCATAAATAAAAAATCTTCACCACTGGACGAGTAGACAACATGATGGTGATGTTGTTATGTGTCGTGGAGTTGGAGCAGCCAACTCCTAGCCGACCCAGTGAGGTTGTGAATTCACAAGAGGAGATTGTGCATCTGTTCTCCTGTGGAATCAGATGGCATGTCTTAGGGTTGGCTGTGCAACTCCTTACCACTAAGCCACCAGAGAGCCCTAACTTGATGATAGATGGAAAAAAGATTGAAGTTGTTAATGATTTCATCTTACTTGGGTCCACAGTTAACACCCATGGTAACAGCAGTCAAGAAATCAAAATATACATTGCATTGGGAAAATCTATCAAGGATCTCTCCAGAGTGCTAAAGAGCGAGGAAGCCAATTTAAAGACTAAGATGTACCTGATCCAAGCTATGGTATTTTCAGTTACTTCCTATGCATCTGAAAGACAGTGAATAAGGAGGACAGAAGAAGAATCAATACTTTGAATTGTGATGTCGGACTACTGAAAAAGCAGACAAGTCTGCCTTGGAGGAAGTGTATCGGGGTGCTCTTTCGAGGCAAGGATAGTGAAGTTTGGTCTCACATACTTTGGACATATTGTCAGAAGGGGCCAGTCATTGGGAAAAGACATCATGCTGGAAAAGGTGGAGGGTCAGTGAAAGAGAGACCTTCAACAAGTTGGGTTGACACACTGACTGTAACAGTGGGCTTGAGTGTATCAAAGATGATGAAGATGGTCCAGGTTAAGGGCAAAGTTCTCATCTGTTCATAGGGTCGCTGTAAATTGTAGTCAACACGATGGTACCTAGCAACAACAATGTCATTTGTACTTTTTTTAGCATTAATTTTCTATTGATTAATTAATGAATAAATTTAAAATAAGGCAGTTGATTATGTTCATAAATTTTCATGGTAAGCTCCTTCTTTCTCTCAGACATTTACTCTTGTTGTTAGACACTAAAGACAGCATCTATAATTCAGAAGCCCCGCAGCTTGAAGGCCCTTCAAGAGCAGAGAACACAGCTTAAATTGGACTCTTCTCGTAGCTCATGGGGACATCATGGGCACTTGTCACTTTTTGTTGAATTATCCTTCTGCCCCTGATACTGTCCTCCACGTCCTTCAGGCATCCCAGTGTCCTCTTTGTGTTTTCATTTTTTTATTTCTTTTTTTTTTTACATCTGGGGGAAGGAGCTGTTCTTCTCCTTCTTTGCCTGAGCACCAGGCTCTCATTTTACACTTTTACTAAAAACAGATCTCCATCTCCCTTGTGGCTATCTTGTCATTTCTTCTGTCCCTGCTCTGATTTGTATTCAGCATAGTGTTATTTAATGCTGCAGCATAGAGCTTAATTGAGCCAAGGGGCTGTGCCTTGTGCTCTGTTAAATCATTACATGGCAGTGGCTGCAAGGGCAGGGTGTAAGGAGGCATCTTCTTTTAGTGCCTAACTTTACTGGCTGGCTAGTGAAAGTCAGGCACTGGCACAGGTTCTGGGGCTCCAGATTTTTTTTTTAAATTTTTTTTTTATTATTATTTGTTTGTGTACTGTCAAATCAGATCTGACCTGTACAGGAGGATATTGTTCCTTCTCCAGCAGAGCATCTAGTAGATTTGAACCGCTCTTCTCTGGGATTGCAGTGCAGCTTCATGCCACTAGGCCACCAGAGCTCGCCAAGGCTGCAGATTTTAAGAAACATTCTAAGTTCTGTACTTCACTGGAGGCGGGAAAGGGAGGCAGACACTAAACAAAATATACTGAAGATGGTGGCAGATGGTCAGAAGTACAAAGAAGAAAAATAAAACAGGGAGATTGTGAGCAATGGAGAAAGTGTTGGTTTAAGATCTCTTGAGAGTGTGACTTCCATTTCTTCAGAGACATGGACAGGTGAGGATAAGAGCTCAGTGGATATCTTGGAGAAGGGAGTTCTAGCTAAGGAGATAGAGCAAGTATAGAAGGTCTTGAGATAACAACACGGTGGCCTTTTTAAAGCTCCAGCAACGAAATGATGGGGAACGGGAATGTTCTAAGTACTAGTCCACAGGGCCATAGCAGGCGCTGGGATCCAGGCAGTCAGCCTGCTGAGGGATGCTGGCTGGCAATGCCGTAGGAAGTGCAGGTGGTGGAGAGGGCTAAGATTTTAGGATGTTCAAAGAGCAGAGAGTTGAAAGTTAGTGTGAGGAGAGGGGAATCAAGATGACCCAAGGTTTGGGGCCTGAGCAACTGAACGAGTGGATTTGCCTTGTTCTGAGGTCAGGGACCAGAGAGAATGACCAATGACCCGTTCCAGAGTGAGAATAAGGAGCAAAGATCCCCTCAGTGTACAGATGTGCCATCTGAAAAATTCTCCCCCATCCTGTCATCCCTCTCAGAGATCCCCATTCTCCCATATTTTCTGTCTCTTTCTGTTCTCACTGGAACTTATCCCAGTAAGGTTTCACCTCACATCACTCTACGCAAACTGATTTTTATGAAATTCATCAGTGACCAACTCCTCAATTCCCCGTCAGCTCACTCTATGCAGCGGTACTGGCATAATTAACACTCAGTATGATAATCAATAAGACCTAATCAGCAACACTGACATAATCAATACTCCCTGCACTGAAAGCACTTTTTTCCCTCTGCCTTCAAAACCCTGTTCCACCCTTCTCCTTCGCCCTCCCCACCCCAGATGATGGTGTCTTCCAGAATCTGCAGCATTCCCTTCTCTACCTCAACCAGCAGAACTTCACCATCCAGGATAGAAAGGAATACGGTTTTCCCAATTTATCAGCTAAACCATTTGTAATTCTAAATATCCCATTAATCGTCTTTGCCTGACTTTTCTGAGATCCCTAAGAAAGCCCTTATTTGTGCTCTTTTTATATCATCTGTAAAATGGAATTTTTCTTTGCACTGACATGAGAACAGAACGGATCAGCACTGTAGGGAGTGGAGCCCAGTCAGTGGCTACCACCTAGGTCACTCCTTCACCGCTGCAGCATGACAGCGTACAGACAGGTGATGGGCAGGTGTTATCATCTCCTGACCATGATAAAGGACTGCAAAAAGATCAGAGACATTCGATGAAAAAGCAAAGAGCAGAGGTTCTCAATTTTGGCAAACCTGATCAGGCCTGAGTCAAGGTTATACAATCACCTCTATCTTAAAAGATGACTTTTTCTCTTTAATGTTGGTCAACATCTTTGTGTTTTTCAAGAGGAAACATATTTCCCTTGACCTTAACCAAGGAGACTTACGACATTCTCTCTCTTGCTTTATTCTCCGGCTTGATTTTGCTAACAGTGTTTTTCATCTTTCCAGAAAGAAGATTGGTCCATGCACAAGTTGGAGTGCTCCCCCATGGTTGTTTTCGGGGAAAACTGGAATCCCTCAGAGACTGTCAGGCTAACAGCAAGGATTCTGGCCAAACAGGTGAGGAAATAGAATAATGGCCAAGCAGATTTCGTTTGATTTTTTTTTCCTTAGAGGTCAAGAGATGAGTAACTGACCCATGATAACCATCTCTGTTACGCTTATTGGACTTTTTTCCTGTGACATCCAAATGGACAAGGGAAGGTAAAAACAAGGAGGCTTAAGTTGGATAGCCATCTGCCTTATGCAATTAGGATGTCTGTAATTTAGACCGTGGAGGGTGGGGCGGACAGACTGGTTTGCCTAGAAAAATAGGACCTTTCAAGGGGTCAGAAACCTGACTGAAATTACAGAAGAGTAAGGGTGACACACTAGTCTGAGAAACTTTGGAGATTTTTCCTTCTTTCTTCTCTCTCACAGAGAATGCACCCATCCCGTCACATTCTGCCTTTCTCTGTCTCCTTACCCTCATCTAAGAAGGCAGGAATTGGAACTAACACTCAGAATGACATATGGGAAAGAGAAAGAGTAGAAAAATAGAAATAGAGCAGGAAGGGAAAGGAAGAGATTTAAAAACATAAAACAAGAAGTAAGTGCCCACTGTGGGGGCAGGCGGCCACCATCCACAGTCTTAGACATAATGATGGGCAAAACTAAAAACTGAGATCGCTTCTCTGTGACTAACTGCTGTAAAGCAGTCCTCATTGATCACATGACAATGACAGATGCCTGGTCTGTGGAAGGAATTAAATAAAAGGAAATGAATAAAAATGTGTGAGGACTTGTGTCCATGTGTGTAGGCTGCCTGGACCTAGTTATTGTTGTTAATGTCAAGTCAGCTGTGACTCATAGCGATCCTATACACAATAGATCTGAACCCTGCTCTATCCTGAGCCAAAACCCTACCTCATTACCCCAGTCACTCTGTCAATCCTTCTCATCCAAGGTCTTCCTCTCCTGTTCTATCCCTCCACCTTTCCAAGCATAATGTTCTTCTCCAAGGACTTGTCCCTCCTGGCCACATGCCCAGATTACATCAGATGGAGCTTCAACATCCTTGCCTCCAAGGAGCGATCTGGTTTCACTCTCTCTAGGATAAACCTGTTTGTTCTCTTAGCAGTCCATGGTGTGTTCCATACTCTTCTCCAGTACCACAACTCAAAAACATCAGTTCTCCTTCTGTCATCCCTAGTCATTGACCAGCTTTCTGATGCATAGCAAGTAATTGTGAAGACTATGGCCTAGATTAGGCACACCATAGTCCCTAAACTGACATCGTTGCTCTTTAGTGCTCTCAAGAGGTCCCTGACAGTAGGACCTCTACTTTCTCCTTGTTGCTTTTTCCCAAAGCTATTCATCTTTTGATTGATGTCAGATGGTAAGAAATACAAAGAAGAAAAATAAATTAAAGAACTAAGTGAGCAATGAAGAAAGTGCTGGTTTAAGTAAGATCTCTCACGCTCAAGAGGGTGTCTGAACCTTGGAAGGTGTATTTCCTCAAAGGTTCTTGCTAATAAGAAGAGCTGGTGACAAGATCTCTGTGTTAGAAACCTTTTAAAACTGTAATTTCATTCACTCCTATAGACCTACTGCTCTCTCCACCTTTAAAATTTTTCTCTGCTTATGTGATTGCAATGATCAGCATGTATCTCTCCCCAGACCAAATTAGGACCCTGGGGCTGCCTGGGCATAAGGAGAACATTTCATAACCCTGAGGTCATCATTCCATTGTTTTCAGCTCATGTCACTTGCTCTCTGAAATGCCATTTTGCTGACTCAGATTACCCAAGACTGTTGAAGAGAGCCTTTAAGTGAGAACATGAAGTTTTCACACAGATAGACTCAATCCTGGAGGGTTAACAGAGAGGAGAAGGGAGTGGAGCAAAACATGATAAATAGATAGGCTGGGGGAAGGGAAAGGCGTATACAATAAGTGATGAGACATTATAGTTAGTTCCTTTAATCACTTGTAATCATTGTCACAGAACAAAACGAGTGTGTAAACTTGGCTCCTTATACGCATGAACTTCACCCACTGCTCCACCGAGAAAGATGGGCAGTCTCCTTCCATTCGATTTACATCTCTGAAAACCTGCTGGAGGGTCAGCTATGAGTTAGTTCCTGCTGACTCATTTGCCAATGAGGAGTTGTAATTTGTACCGTAATTGTCCTGTTGAGACTGACTTATGTCAGTCAGCGTTATTTATTCTAGAGTCATCCATGTTCAGTAGCTCACAGATTTGTACTCTATCCTAATGATAGTAGCACTTACCTTTTCAATCACAGGGCAATGAAGGAAGTACTTAGATTGTCAGAAAGGGTCGGAGCAGTTGGAATGGCTAGGTCACTATCGGATGAGCATGTCAGAATGAAGAAGCCAGCATCGTCAGCATCGTGGGAGGACTGGGTGCTCAGTCTACCGTTTTCTTTCTCCTCACTTCTGGGTCTTATTCATAATCTTGTAGTGAAAACTTTCGAGGAATCTGCTTTACTTTCCTGAATGAAAAGCTTTCTCAGTCAAGACGACTTATTAATCTTATAAAGATGCATCCTGTGAATGGAGGATTGCTGCTGCACAAAGGAACTACGGAAAGGTTTTGGCCCCGGCAGGGGGGTCTGAATGTGGTGATGAGTTTACAGAGCTCATTCAACTTTTATTATAATTACTACTACCACTAATAGTCCATTTAAATGAAAAGTTACCTGACCATCTTTTCATCTCCATAGGACTCGGTGATTAAAAAAACAGACCATTTGTATTCTAGTGGCTTGCAAAGGATTAGAGTAGACAGGCTACCCAACTACCAAGGGGAAGCTTAACATGTTAACTAGGGAGGTGAGTGCGCCCCGCAAGACCACCTGTATCCTCCGATTGAATAGCCAGATACAAAGACACGGCCTTGGGCCAGCTCTCGAGCTCTGCTTTTGAGCTCTTGTCAACACCAAGTTTATTCATGTCCTCAAAGCCTAGCGGGTTTACTATTGTTAGCTCCTCTTGGGGTGTCTAGAACAAAGCCAGCAACACGTTTCAAGTGGATCTGGGCTCCCAGATACAACCAAAAGAGTCTTTTTGAAACACCGAATTTGAGATCATTTTCGCCTATGCTTAAAGAAAGTGTAAAATGGATGGGGGGTTTGATTTTTGTTCCTTTTTAGAAGGAGAAATAATAAATAGGATGGTTGGTCGGCAGACATGGTCCTTTTAAGTAAGGGCCCTAAAAAGTTGTTTTTCCAGCCCTCATTCATTCCCATAATAAGCGTTCTTGAGCCTACTGTGTGCATGGCATTATCAGGGTGTTAGGGACACGGCAGTGACAGGCTCGCAATGGGAACGCTGTAAAGGCATTTTAAAAGAGCGTTTTGAATTTGGATATGGGGCAGACATTCTCACAGCCCAAGTTGTGGATTCCTTGGATAGCTTTTTCTCCTTCATTGGGTAATACCAGTATACCGTTTCCCCCCCTTTTCCTTCCTGTTGATTTGAAAGGGAAAACACTTTTTTTGCACCTACTGGTAAAATGTATGTCTGTGATTTCTTTCCCAATTACTAGAAAATCCACCCCCCAGAGAGGACACCATCAGAGAAATTGTTAGCTGTGAAGGAGTTTGAATCACGTAAGTCTGAAACCCAGAGTGTTCCTGCTGGCCAGCTGAGGAGTTTTTTATGCCTAAATTTAATGTGTATTAGGCTGAGTTGAAGAAAGAAAGGGTATAGTTGGTGTATATGGGAGTGTTGGTGGTAATTTTAATTAATAGTTTTTATTTTGTTTCACATGCTGTTGTGAAAAATAAATTTACCTCTTTTCCTGGTTTGACCAGATTACTGGGAAGTAATTGAGGAACTCACACACTGAAATATTGCACCCCTAGCTGTCTCCAGTTCCTCTGCTGGCTTGCTGAATATTTTTGGATCTTTGTTGAATTGCATTGCTCTCTAAACAGCTGATGCCTTTACTGGAAGGCACCAAAACTTGACCATAACACAGATTCCAGGGCCATGTGGGGGCCTGGGACTGGACTGAGGCTGGTTATCAGTCATTGCCGCTCATTCCTGACCTCACTGCTCGTGGTCAGTTGGCATTTCTTGGACTGGGTGACTTCCAGCTGTCAGGGAGATAGAAGAAAGGAGAAATGTCATGCTTATCTTTTCTCAAGATTTGACCCTCAGACCAATATTCTCTGGCACCTGTTACAGAAGGAAGAGTAGGATATAGCTAGAAAGCCAGGGTATTCTCTCTGGTGAGTGAGTGATTTGATTATTTATCCACAGATCTGGATAAGCTAGACAATGAGAAGAAAGACTTGATCCAGAGTGACATTGCTGCTCTCCGTCACTTTTATTCTAAGCACCTGGAGTTCCCTGGCACTGAGAGCCTGGAAGTCCTCTTTGCACAGGTAAGTGTGGCAGCCTCGGGCACCACTGCCTGCAGCCTGCCCCTCTCAGAGTCTTATCCCAGCGCATACATAGTGAAGGCAGGAAAAATGGAACAAAGGTGTCTACTCAATGACAAGGCTCTTGCCCTTTTTTGCCCCCGCTTGCCATAGCCTTTAGGTGACCTCCAACATATCCAGTCCTTCTCTGAATTGGTTCTCACTGATGAGCGCAGAAAATTCCCCTCCACTTCAGAAAGACTTTACAAAACAAATGAGTGAGTGACTAGTAGGTCGGTGCTATGGCCAGTTTCAAAAGATCCCACTGCCATCAAGTCTGCTCTAACTGATGGTGACCCTGTGCATTATAGGTAGAGCAACTCATGTGCCTTCCTTGCTGTGATCTGTTCAGAAGCTGATGGCAGGTCTTCTGTGGTGCCCTGGGTCACTTCACACCCCCAGCATTGAGGTTACTAGTCCAGTACAGACCATTGGGGCTTCCCAGGGACCGTTCTTTGCCCCTAAAAAGACCATTTGAAGTTTAAGAACAAAAGACAAAAACAAAACAACACCAAAAAAACTCATGGTGCCATCAGATCAGGTATTTGAACTTAAACTGTATGAAATTTTACTCTTCTTAACATAATCTGTCATTCAGACAGCAATACCTATCTGTTTGGGGTTTTTTTCTTTTCCTCTCAATTCCTCCCAACTCTGTGAACACTCTGTCTTTTCTGATGAAAGCTAAGGAACCTTGTTTAAAGAATCGTAGGTTAACCAAAATCAGAAATAATTGTCAGGGGTGGGGGAGAACACAACACTAGAGAGATTTCTAAACAGAGCAACTGTAGTGTGCTTGAATATCTGGAGTCAGGTGCTCATGGAACAGCTCGGCTGTGGGTGTTGCCAGGTCACGAGAAGGAGGTGCAGTGGCACCGTCAGTGGCTCATCCATCTACCGTTTGTATCTGAAGGATGCTCTTGCAGACCTGACTTACCACAGCAGGAGTCTTTCCCTCATACATCCACGAGTGGTTCCTTGCCAGATCTGCACTTGTTGCAAATAACCTCAGAGATGAGAACTGCCCCATGGATGCAAATAGCTCCTTTCCCTGCTACAGCTTTTGACCTTTGCACATCAGGTTGTAATTAGATACTGTGGACAGTTAAGGCTTTTTTATTTTATTTTTATTTTTTTATTTTCAGGAGTTTATCCTAAGGACAAACAAAAAAGAGCTAGTGAGAGATTATGAAATTTATATGCAAGTTGAATTCTTTTAAAAGTCCTTGGAGGAGGGAGAAGAGGAAATACTATAAAGAGGCAGCAGTCCTAGATGGTTAAATAAATTAAAACATAACCATGTAATGGTAGAAAATTATGTGGCCTTTTAAAATTGCTACAAAGACTATCTAGATATAGAGAATGAAATAGCATTAAGTATTAAAATAGATGAGAAAATGTGTAATATGAAAATATACATTCATGTTGTTTTTATACATGTGTACTTATGAAAAATATTTCACAATTGAGTATCTTCTGACTTGTGGGGAAATTTTGCCTTTTTTTGGTGGTGGTTTTGTAGGGTGAGCTTGTGTAACTTAAAAAAAATATACTCAAGTCACAAAAGGGTAAATACGCATAGTGCCAGTGTTGTAAAGCAGGACTGACATCGGGTTTAGGGGGAAACTAAGAGGGGATAAATAATGCACACTGCATTGAAACAGATGAGGGAGAGACTGTTTAGGAGGAATATATGATTAGGTATTATTGTCATGACAAGGGTCCAGAATGAAAGCTGCATAGTGGAGTGGACAGGGGGTGAGGGGGTGCGGGGGGGGGGGGGGGATGTATAACAATGAAAGAATTTTTTTTTTAACTTTTCAAAGAGAAAAGTGAACTGAGGAGGAAGGGTGGGCAAGGAGGAAAGTGTGCAACAATGAATGAATGGAAATCCAAAGTTGTTGTAAACTTTCATTAAAATTAAAAAAAAATAGGTTATAATATGGATGGAGAAGAGATTGAGGTTGTTAACAGTTACAGCTTGCTTGGCTAAAAAAAAAATTCACTCAGAAGAAGAAAAACAGAAAAAGCTCTTACAATTCTATCAATTAGAGAAAGTACATATATAAAGAGAGAAATGAGTCTTCCATCAGTTCTCACTGGATGCTGTTCACAGTTCAACTAATTTCTTTATAGGTTTAATATTTATGCAGACAGGTCTAGGGTGTACCTGTTAAAATTAGGAGGGAAATGCTATTTTTTAATAAAATTTATTTTAAATAAAACAACGGGGGGCTTAATTTCATTGTTAAGTTAGGAGAATTAAATACCTTCCTGTTTTCATAATAGTACCCTGGATTTATACCATAGTTTCCCAACACATTGGATTTGGATGCAAAAATGAGAAAATACACTTTTTTTTTTTTTATTTAAAAAATGAAATACTTGATTTTCTTTTCCCCTGGGTTGAAAAGGGTGTGATTATGTAAGAAAGCAGGAGAGTTGAAATACCTGTAAGATACTTTCTCATCACTTCTAACTGTGAGAGCTGATAGCTTTTCTCCAGCGAGGTAATGAATACTGGTCCGATTCCTCAGTGTCGCTTTGATGTGGGACTTTATTTTCATATCCAAAATCACAGATTAGATTCCATAAGTAGGAACATATTTGTAGGAAAAAATTATTCATAATCTTTGAAATTTGGACTGAAAAAGAGGTAAAACACTTTGTGTGTGTGTGTGTGTGTGTGTGTGTGTGTGTGTGTGTGTTACAGTATAGTATTGATACTTACATAGTTATGGTCAATAAAGTCACCTCAAATAGTGAATGAAAATATATATATATATATACTTGTTCCTGGGGGAAATGCAAAATTAGATACCTGTGAACTTCTAATCACACAGTATTTTTGTGGTTCGATTTTTATATTGAAAATGGTTTCTATTTATAGGCACTTTATTTAATATACACTATTGATTCATTAGCATTGAATTCATGGGGAGCAGCACTGTAATATAACTGATGCCCAGAATGAAGTTTATTTATATTTGGGAATAATTTTAAGCATTATAATAATCAGCAGAAAGCACAAAAATGGAAAAACAAAAAACAAAGCATACCAGTTAAGTAGACCGTAAGAAGGACGAGCATTTACAGCATGAGAGCTAAAACAAGAAGGCATAGTGTCACCTGTGTGAACTCAGCTAGGAACATGTAAGGGAGTGACTTGAATTTTTCACTGCTCTGAGCCTTTGGTGAATGACCCATAGGAGTGCCGTGAGTATTGATTACGGTGTTACGAATAAATTTCAGCAAGTAGACAAATTTTCAGCAAGCCCTGGTCATGCAAGTGCTGAAATAGCTGCTCTCCTGAAGTTGGGCAGTTTGAACGTATCCAGCAGCTCACAAGAACAGGACCTGGCCATCTCCTTTTGTAAAGGTTACAGCCAAGAAAACAGCAGGAGGCAGTTCTCCACTGTTAAATGAGATTGCTACACATTGGAATTGACTTATGGCACCCTTTATCTACACTACTCAAATTCACAAGTCTGACTAAAAAAAGTAGCTGTGACTCCTTCACAGACTATTATTTTTATGTGTCAAGTCTTAGTAGTCTTCCTGAGATGGTATGTGTATAGATGCCTGCATACACAGGCACACACATACACACATCTTATTTTCTTGTGTAATTTTTCAAAAAGAACTTTGCTCTAAGAAAACTTGAAGCAGTAAAAGTGCTTCTCCCACATCAGGCCACTGTCCGGCCTGCCTCTCAGCACCCAGCTGCCTGTGTGCTGTTCCAGCCTCAGCCCTTTCCTCTCTGAGGGTGGTGAGAAGGTGTGGTGGGTTACTTAGATGTGATGCAGAACTAGCTGACTCTACAGCGTGACCACCCTCTTCTGACAGCATTTTAACCACCGGAGACATGCATGCCTGGGAAGTGTATTTTTGGTGGCCGATTCCATCTAGTCTAAATGCTAACTGTGAGAATAGTTTTAGCAAAGCAGTTAACATCTGATTTAACTTTGGAGAAGAGAAAAAAAAAGACGGACTCATTCATCTTTCTTAATATGCAAGCTCACTTTTTTTTGTCTCTAGGGATATTTTGGAGAGAGGGAAGCTGGCAAGCAAATTGTTGTGTGGTTTGGTTTAAGCACCATCACCAGCTCCCAGAAATGGACAGAAATGACACTTGTGCGTGGCTGATGATGAAGCCCACTTGCTTCTTCAGAGTAAGAGGAAGGACAGAACGTTGGTGTCTGAAGAGTGTAGACTCAGAGAAATGGGCTGTCATTAGGGAAAGAGACGGACAAGCAAAGGAGCAGCCCTCTCTACCAGAGAGGCCCCAGAGTTCATGGGGCATTTTCAAAACCTAGCTCAGTTTTAAAAATTGTTTCTAGCTTCTCTCTCTCTCTCTCTCTCTCTCTCTCATTCTGCAAGTATTTACTGTTGTCTTTGGGCACAAGGAGCTCTGGTGGCTTAGTAGTAAAGAGTTGTGCTGCCAAACCAAAGGCGTGAGGTTCACATCAACCAGCTGCTCCAAAGGAGAAAGACTCTCCCTTCCCTCCCACCGTGTGATTTATAGCCTCTGAAAACCTGCTGGAGCATCAGCTAGAAGTCGGTTCCAACTTGAGGGCACATAAAGTATGGACACAAGACTCCGCTGGAGCATGTTTGGCTTCATTCTGAGATCATTTGTCTGTTAGCTGGTGTTGCATTATGTTGTTACACATGCAGCTGCTAAGTGAAAAGTTGATGTTTCAGATCCACTCACCGGTCTTTTGGAGAGAGATGTGCAGTGTCCTTCCAAACAAATTTTGGAAACCAGATGAAGGATCACCCTGAGTTAGTATCTGCTTAATGGCAATGGGGTTGGGTTCTTAGTGTATGAGGGGCTTTTTAGTAAAGTGTGCAGTTTGGAGAATTGACATGCTAGTAAATTGAGTTAAATCTTAATTGACTGTCACCTAATGCTGGTTGACGGTCATTGGCTCATGGTCACTGGTTCATGTCCTGAGGTCAGAGTTCTTGGAGTTGACACAATGTTGAATAAATGTCCAGCTCCATCAGGATCCTGAAGGCCATGAATTGTTTCACTAACAGTCACCTTTTCCTCTTTATATTCTGAGTTATGAAATATTGCAGGTCAGGCTCATCATTGCCCTGCTTTTGTGTGTAGCTAGATCCCTAAGCCTTGGCCTTGGCCTGTTAATTTGAGGTTAAATGAACTACATTAATGCTGAGTCAAAGAAATATGGAATATTGTGAACAGACCAGGTTTGGCAGCCAGAACATCTAGTGTGAGTTCTGATTCTTTTCCTGTTTTGTTATATGACCTTGAACCATTTGTCTGCTGACCCTCTTGGAGCCTCATTGTCCACATCTGTGAAATGAATTGTAATGATGTGAGTGTAGCATTGAACGTTTAGAAGAATGTTAACTGAACATGCCCCAGTGTAGTGTCTGGCCGATAGTGCATGCTCAGCAGATGCTAATGTTATGCTCGTCCGTTAATCTGAAATAAACCTGTGAGGGTATCTTGGTTTTGAGGTGTGAGGAGAGTGTTTCCAGTCTGCCTTCCTCGGCCTTGTAAACACTGTGAGGGAAGTAAGGATCTCAGCCTTTGCCTCTTCCTGCCATTGTGACACTGTGCACGTCACCAATCCCTTCTGGACTGAGAGGCACTTCCCATTCAGCTCTGAAAACAGAACCCGCTTGAGTAGCCTGGATGTGCCAGTAGACTGGGTCTTCCTTGAGGGCCATTTTTTGGCTTGTTTATCACTCTATCCTCACTGCCTGGCACAGAAGAGCTCTCCTTAAGTCTCTGTGGAAGGAGTACATGGAGTGGTTTAGAACTTGAGAATGCCAGATCCTCAGCTTCAACTTGCTTAGCTCTAATTAACTCCCAAAATGATGAGGATAGCCCTTGATATGGTAATGCCAGCACTCCATAAGATAAGTAGCTGAGAAGCAGACCACAGAGTCTCAGTTCCTGAGCTTCAGGCCCTCAGCTGCTGTGCCTCTCGAGGGGATGAACAGTCAGTAGGTGAAGTAAACAACCAGATTCAGCAACTCTTTTTTTAATGGGAGAAAAATTAAGGATTCGATGGTGACCTCAAGATCAGAAAAAGTGGTGGGGATAGACTATAGATCTCCTAACTCCCTGGCAAATATGCAGACTCCTATCTATGGGCCCTTGGGCACCTCAGTGGCATTCTTGGGCCATAGTATGTGGCTGGGTAGGTAAACTGGACCAGGGTTGCTGCAGACTTAGCCACCCTGCATTCATTTGTTTGTAATTGGAACTGATGTCTAAATTTTGTTTTCACAAAGGGTGCTTTTGGTAAAAAAAGAAAAAAAAAGTTTTAAAACAACTACACCAGAACATGTTTCTGATTAATTTGTTAAAGGTCAAAAATAAATTATTCCTTTCCAGGGAAAAGCTTTGGCTCACTTTCTCCTTTCTCTCTCTCCTTCTCTCACTACAGGTTAACTGTAACGGCTTCACAATTGAGGATGAAGAACTTTCTCATTTGGGTTCAGCAATATTTCCTGAGTAGGCTGAGTTTGACTTCATTTCTTTTCTTTTTTTTTTTTTAACTAATTTTAACACTAATTTAATTTTTTGATATTTAAATAACCCACCTAACTGCATGTGACAGACATGACACTCAAAGTGAATTAAGACACCTTTTTAATTCTGCCAGATTTGAAAATATTTCCCCTGCACTTAAGGATCTGCAGGTAGTAGTTAAGAGAACAGTTGCTTATTAAGTCCTGCCAGGCAGAGAGCTGTTATTAAAGAACATTTTATAGTGTGTGTAGAAGAAACAGCCTATGTCCTGCTGAGAAATTTGCCTTCTGCATGTCTGTGATTCTGGAAATCTTTGGGGTTTTTTTTATTCTCAAAGGGAAACATTAATTGCCAACCAAGAATTGGCTACAGACTTGTGTGGAGAATCTATGAGCCTCTTCTCCATCGCTCCCTTTAGAAAAATATCCATCCAGAAACAGTACAGTTTGGAGGGAGGGTAATGAACTGGAGAACAGTTTCAAAGAACTCTAGGGGTTTTCTCTCAAACAATTCAGGAGCAGCTAGCCAGTTGGAAAATGGAGATCTTTGTATCTTTACTTAAATGGCCTTGCCATTGTCTCTTGGGTAGAGTGGATATTTCCAAAATGACCTAGCCCCCTGAAATCACACCCTTGTTGCTTAGCGGGGCCCTTCCTGCACCCCCTGTGTGAATAAGCCACATTGTGGGTCCATTCTATCCAGTGGTTTCGGTTTGAGAGGCACACTGGCTCTAGGTTGAGGATGTGTCTTGGCGAGCACTCATCACAGGGCACTTGCCACAGATGAGTATTTGCTTCTGGGTGCCAGTCTATTGCTGCCACACTCCATGCATCACACAGGTCAGAGGCAGAGGAATTATACAGGCCTGTGTCATTTGAGTGTCTGTTTCAAGCTTGTTTGAACCAGAGGAACAAAAAACTTGACCTGCATCATAACACGGCCCATATGTCTTCTGTAATTTGAATTGTGATAGCAAGGAAAGAAGTGTTTTGAGGGGGGAAGACCCTTTGGGAAAAGGAAAATGAGGAAGAGAATGTAGAGATCCTCCATAGAAGGTTCCTGATGACAGTCTGAGCCGCTGCAGCAGACTCCCAGGAGGGGTGGGCTAGGGTACGCTGTTGTGAGGGGGGTGTGTATGTCTGCTCTGAGTATTTCCTGGGACTGGTAGGAGTGCTAGGTGTAGAGAAGAGAAAGTGATTGTCTCATAGATCAAGAGACTAAAGCCCAAATTTAGGGGACCAGATTGCTCTCATTGGTAGCTTTAAGGGGAAGCCTTGCTTCCTTCAGTGCCTTGGGGCTTGGAGGAGGTTCTCACATGCTATCTTAATGCTGCATGTCTGTCTCTGTCCTCTTAGAAATTTGGATTACTCTGGTGTAACCTCTTAACATCCTGACAGCATCTGCAAAGAAAAACTTACCCCAGATGAGGTCATGTTCACCAGCAGGGTTACAACTTCAGCACATCTGTTTTGGGGGACACAGTTCAGGTCATAGCAGCTTCTGAAAGACTATACATAGGGCAAAAAGTGATGTTGTCTGAGAAAGTTGTAGCACCGTGAGCACGTGTTTCGCCTTTTCACTAAAGAGACACCTCCAGTTCACTGAGCCTGAGGAGTTTCCATGGAGACTCGAGATGATGTGTATAACTGGACTTCAGTCATTTGCTTCCTCCCTGCCCCGTAAAGCCATGTAGTAGGTGTATCAGTTGACTTATTCCTAGGATCTGAGTCCCCTGTAACGCCAGGACAGTAGGTGCAAGCTTTCAAAGACCGAGACAGTGGAATCACAATGTGTTTGCCCAGGGTACATGGCCAACCATGCCTCACTCAGGCCACTGGAACTGGAGGTGGCTCTTCCCTCCACATCCACAGCACCCATTTTCATCCAAGCATGGGACAAGCCCTTGTCAGACATGGCATTCCCTCTTCTCTTGCCTTCTAGGGACAAATAAGTGAGGGATTTTGGCCACTGACATGTCAGGAAGATGAGATCTCCCTACACAACAGCAGTTATGTGTATGGATGTGAGTGCCCCACAAGACTACCAGCCCTAGTTTCCGGCAGTTTTAATTGGGGGAAAAAATCTCTTTGGGCTGAAATCATATCGGCATTGTGATTTCAAAGACAGCATTTTCAGAGATCAAGCATTTTTCCCCTGTAGTTTAGAAATTTCTGTTCTTAGAACTTTGACCTTGATATAATCAGAAAGCTCAAAGCCCCTCAGATAGGCGAATCTCTATCCTCCTCACCGTCCCTAAAAAGCAGACAGTGACAGCAGGAAGAGTAATGTCCCAATTTTCCTGATGAGGAAGTTGAGGTGCTGAGAGACTCTGGTGGTTTCTGCAGGGGGAGGGGAGAGGGGATCAGAAGCAGCCACTTAGAGAACCGGCATCCCCCGTGGTGACACTTTCTCCACATCTGAAGAAAACACATAGAAATAGTCCACTAATGTATAACATGGCTTGGAAATGACAACCCATTTGTCTTTCATAGTACACAGTGGAGTGGCAATTAGCTGTAGGTTCTGGGGATTTTGAATCTAGCATCTTAACAGAAAAGACTGTGGAGTTTTGTTATTTCTTACTTTCAGCTTTTTTCCTTAAAAAAAAAAGCATGTTTTGAGTTCTAGATTGCACTTTTCAGTGTAGTTAAAGGTGACTAATGTTAGTTGTCCTCAAGCCAGTTCTCATTCATGGCGACCCCACATGTGCAGAGAAGGCCCTTATTTGACTCTGATCTTTAGCAAGCAGGTTGCCAGAACTTTCTTCTGAGGTACCTCCCGGTGAGTTTGAACCCCTAACCTTTTAGCTGCTAGTTGAGTCTTCAGTCATTTTGTCCTCCAAAGGGCATTGCTAAAGGTTTAGGGGTTATGAAAATAAAGGCATGCAGACCAACCTGTAGAATATGATAGCCAGGGAGTAGGGTTTTTTGTCCCCCTCTGTGTTAAAAAGAAGCAGTTGCTCTGACTTAGCATTGAGCAGCCACATGGAGTCACTTAAGTGTCTCCTGCCCTTACTGAAAAAGTGGAATTTTCTCTTCTGATTGACAGTGTTGCACTGATGAATCATAGCTGTTGCCCCAACGTGATAGTAACTTACAAGGGGACGCTGGCAGAAGTAAGAGCTGTACAGGAAATCAACCCGGGAGATGAGGTGAGTGCATGGCCCATGGTGACAGGACCAAAGTGTGTCGGCTGGCGGTTATACAGGGCTGTTAGACTGTCCAGGCAGGGTCACTAGAGCATTCCAGGTCTGGTGCTCTAAGGGCCAATGACACATTGATAACCTGTGGCTGGAGGTTCCTGGGGCTGTACTATTTAGGGCCTCCATATGGTGCCGGCTGCTTCATTGTTTGGTCAGGAAGAATCCAGAAGGAATGAACTCAGCTGCACTGAATTTCCCATGGAGGGTTGTAGATTTGCAGAGAAAAGTCTCCAGTGAGCGACATGAAGTTTCTGATTCTTCTTAGAGTCTGTGTATTCTTATTGCCAAACAATTGAGTTTGAGCTTTATTTTTAAAATTAATGATATTTTGCCTATTCTCTCAGAAACAGTCAAAAGTGTCCTTCTTTAAAAGAGATCCAGGAACCCAATAGTAGCTGAAGAACTTCAATTCCAAATGACCTATCAAGTGGCCCAAAGAGTCACATTACTAAACCAATAATCCAAATGACCTATCAACGTTTCATGATGTCCCTATTCCACATACACATATGAGACCCTTATTCAGATGATTAGGGGAATAGAGGACGTAAAGTTGGAACTTACTTGTCAGTGATCTTCTTGTGGGTTTTCAGAGGCTGTAAATCACAGCAGCTGGTGGATTCGAACCTTGTACCTTTGGGTTGGCAGCACAACTCCTTACTACTAATCCCCCTATTAAACCAATCAACCGTACTCGAACTCGTGAGTCAGGATAGAACTATGCTCCATAGGTTTTCAATTGTTGATTTAATTTGTTTTTGTTTTTTTTTTAAGTCAGTTGCCAGTTTCTGCTCAGGTACCTCCCAGTGAACTCAGAACTCCAGTCTTTCCATTAGTAGCTCAGTGTATCAAACAGTTATGCCACTCAGAGACTCCCTGAAGGCAGCAGTAGCTTTTTTGTTTGGGTTTATTTTGAGAGCACAGCTGGTGACATGTCTGTCAGAGGAACCCATGTTTTGTCACCTACTCAGAGATCCCTTCCATTACAGCAGTTCTTTGACCACCTGACAAGATATCTTACCCCCAAAGCCCTCCCTACTAAATTGCTCAATGTGTGCTCTATAGTCTTAGTAAAACACAGTAATTGTAGGGGATGCCATTACATACTTTCTAGTGCCCTGGTAGCAGAATGGATATTGTGTCACACTTTAACCAAAAAGGTTGGTGGTTTGAATACATCAGCTGCTTTGAAGGAAAAAGATACTTTGTCTCCTCCTTTAAATATTTACAACCTGGAAGCCAGTAGGAGATTCGCTGTAAGTGGAGACTGATTTGGTAGCAGTAAGTTCCCATTAAAAAAAAAATAGAAATAAAATTATTAAAGTACATTTAACATAAAAATTTTAGTGTGTATTTTAAAGTGGTCATCTGGATATCTAACAAAGTGTCATTGTGTTAAATAAAGGACATGTGATTTGAATTCCCTGGAAGTTGTTAATTAGTCCACCTCTAAGTTGGAAGCAAGAAGCCTGATAGACAGATTGGACCCTGGATCCTTTGCTAAATTCATTACAAGGAGGGTGTCTCCTGTTGGGTCAGGGACCCACTGGTTTCCACGAGCCCTTCGAGACTTGTCACACAATTCCAGGCAGTTGGGGTGTAAGTCACCTGGCACCTGCACTATGGTCTGACTGTAGAGAAGTGCAATTTTGTCTCCTACACTGGCTTTGGGCAGTGACACTGGAAGCGGCCTTTGTCGCCATCTTCTGGGCTCTTGTATTTGTTACACTACATGTCCTTCAGTCTTGCCAAGGAAATGATAAAGGTTCTTGCCATGTAAGGCAGGGCCAGCCTTAACTCCTGTTATTGTTGGCTGTCTTAACTTTCACACAACCTGAAATGCAGTGACCTCTCTGACTACCTGGGAAGTCAGTACTTCAGCAATTACTTGCCCTTGAAAGAGAAAGGTGCCCATCATTCAGGGAATGAGAGTGAGGAGAGCTTGGCCACCCTGCACACATCAAACCCTGTGCCTGCTCTTCCCTCACCTGCCTGGTGGTGCTCAGGGTGACTGGCTCACTCATGGCTTTTCAGGTCCATCTGTTCAGTCAGACGTTTGCCCGATTGTGTGAGATGCTTACCAAGTGCCTTTCCCACTGAATAGGTAATAGAGAGTAAAATGTTAGTCTCCTCTACGTGCTCCAAGGCTTAAAAAGAAGAAACGAAGGGAGACCTCAACAATCTCAAAGGTTAGGCTTTCTCTGGATCAGCTGGAAGGCAGCTGGAGACTGGTGTTCTAGAAGCTGTGTCTCCCCATTCTGCCTGATGGTGCCAGCCCGAGCCGCCAGTTGCCTCCCTCTGGGCTCAGGGTCTTACTCCACTGCAGCTGATGTGGGGAGAGGGGTGACATAGTCAGGCCTGCTTCTTATTCCGTCAGTACAGGCAGCACTGAGGGCAGCGGAAGCATCTGAGCCATTCCAGACTCTGGGACCGAAGAGACTCCCTTCAGGCCAGGCAGAAGCAGCAAGGGCCACACCCCAGGAGGACCTGAATCCTGGCCCGGTGTGGCCTGGACTTCTGTACCTGAGAAGTGGCCTCTGCTGCTGGTACAGATGCAGAGAAGCAGCGGGTTTCCTTTCGCTCTCCAGTGTACAGTCTCAGGGCCTCCGTTAACTTCCCATGGGCGGAGGAGCTACCCAGTTTGGCCGAGTTTTCTGTGTACAGCAAAAGACAGTAGGCAGGTCATGTCTCTGTTTAAAAGGAGTCCTTGGACTATTTGTCCTTTTGCGACTGAGATATTTCACTCTACATGATGTGTTCTAGGGTCCCCCATGTTGTGTAATGTTTTAAAAGTTCGGTGGTTTTTTATCAGTGTTGTGTAGTAGTCTATTGTATGAATATATCATAGTTTTTCTACCATTCATTTGTTGATGGGCACTTGGGTTGCTTCCATTTCTTTGCGATAAGAGTGAATAGATAATGATCATTGGATTGGAACAGATAAAAGAAAGAGCTGTCTAAAATGAATATATGATTAGGCATATACATATGACAATAGCCCAGAATAAGAGATATATCATTGCAAAGAGGACTGGGGGTGGAGAGAGGAAGGTAATTGTGCAACAATGAATGAATATTTTTTAAAAAGGTAAACAAGGGGAGGGAAAAGGGAGGGTGAGGGGGTAAGATGTGCAACAATGAATGAATGGAAATCTAACTTCTCTGTAAATGTTCATTAAAATAACAATTAAAATGTTATTTATATATATAAAAAAAAGGAGTCCCTGGATGCCAGCTGAAAGGTGAGTAGTTCAAGTCCACCCAGAAGAAAGGCTAGTGCACTTCAAAAACTCAGCCATTGAAAACTACGTTCCTGCTGAAGTACATGGGGTCACCATGAATCAGAATTGAGGAGAGATTGACTCTTAAGGGGAGGAACTCGAGGTGTTAAAGCAGGTGTTTGCAGAGCCACAGGCATCATCAATGTAGGGTTACACTATAGCAGATTCACGTTTCAACTTTTGTGGACCCCTTAGGTATTTACCAGCTACATTGACCTCCTGTATCCAACCGAGGACAGGAACGACCGGCTCAGAGATTCTTACTTCTTTACCTGTGAGTGTCAGGAGTGCACCACCAAACACAAGGTAAGTCCTGCTGCCCCGCAGAGGCTCGCCGCCTCTGTCCATCTTAGGCTGCTCTTCAGAATGAGTTCCCCTCAGCTTTGGCGTGTACCCTCCAAGATTTTAGACCCTTTTCAGCAGCCTTGTAAAGACAGCCAAACGGAATCCAGTTAGACCAGGTGTGTGTGTGTGTGTGTTTCATCCTGCTCCCAGCAGCTGCTGTGAACATTCCCATTCGACTAAACAAATAACAGGACATGCCAGAAAAGTACTTTCTTGAAGAGAAAGGACTTCTCAGACTAAGGGGAGGCAAAAGGAAATAAAAATGTTTAGGCTTTTCAGTCTATTCACCAGAGTCTGTGGACTTTTCCCCAGCCTTGCCCAAATTCTTATCAGTGCCATTCCTCTTCATTCCTTTAATATTTTGTCAGTGAGTAAATATCTACTTGAAGCAAATGTATTCTAGGTTGCCGTTGGTAGGTGCTAACAGGTTGACTGCAACTCCTATAAGTCACGCTAAGAGCAGTAAGGCAGCTCTCGAGGCGCAGTGGTAAGGGTTTGTTCTGCCAGCCCAAAGAACACAGTTTGAATTCACCAGCTGCTCCAGGGGAAAAGATGGGCAGTCTGCAGCCATGCGATTTACTGCTTCCGAAAACCCACCAGAGAGTGAGCCAGGAATTGCTGGCACTTAACCACATAACAAGAATAATAATAGATTGAGACCTTGTCCTGTCCTGCATACTCTAACAATCTCCATCATGCTCAAGCACGTTGAGAGTCTTCCTCTTTTTTACTGACCCTCTGCGTTGCCCACCATCATGTCTGTTTCCCATTATGACAACTAGGCTTCTTAGATGTGTCTCACAGGACGTGCCGTCAGAATGCTCCTTACAGCAAGGATGGTGAAGCTTCCTCTCTCATGCTCTGGGCATGTTGTTAGGAGGGGCTATTCTTTGGAAAAGGGGTACCAGAGATGAGTTGACACAGTGACTGCAACACTGGGCTCAAGTATGTCAGAGATAAGGATGGCACAGCATAGAATAGGTTTCAGGGCTGTTGTTGATAGGGTCCCTATGAGTCGTCCTTGACTTGACATCACGTAACAACACAGCAGGTACTTAGTGACCACTGATAGCCAGTGGCTGTGCTCACTGCCACTAGGTGAAAGCTCTGTTTCAAACCTGCCAGTAGCTCTTCTGAAGAAAAGGAGGTGGCACTCTACTTCCATAACAATTTGGAGCCTTGGAAGTCTTAGAGGCAAGTCTGCTCTGTCCTACAGGATCTCTGTGAGTTGGAATTGGCAGCTGTAGCTTTTGGGTTCCATAATTATATAGTATTTTTGTTGTTTGTTTGGAATATCCTTTAACTCCATTGCCTGATTTCCTTTTGCTCTTTCCTAACTATGGAAGAGCCAGTTCATCTCCCTTCTTGTTGTATTATATGAGAGGTATATCTCCCTGGAAGGTAACCTCGTGCCTTTTTGGATATTTTTCTCAGGATGAGGCCAAGGTGGAAATCCGGAAGCTCACAGATCCCCCAAAGGCAGAAGCCGTCCGTGACATGGTCAGATACGCACGCAATGTCATTGAGGAATTCCGGAGAGCCAAGCACTACAAATATATCCTTTAACTGTCCTCACAGTTTACTGTCCTTCATCCTCACTATAGGGAGCTGAGTGGAAGGTAGGAAAAGGGATTGGGAGAAAGATGGCTTTGAAACTCCAAACTTTGAAGGAGGAATTTCTCCTGGTAAATGTGTGAAGGATTAGTGACCACTCAATAGGTGGAACCAACCAGAGGCAATGCTTTTAAAGTTCTTATTTCTCCTTATTTGACTCGTTTGGTCAGGAGCACATGTGGTGGAAGAGTTTGTTCTCCTCAGAGTAGGAAGTGCCAGTTTCTTGAAGCCCATTGTTATGTGCTGTCAAGTCCACTGTGATTCACCGTGACCCAATGAACAGTAGCTCTGAACCCTGCCCTATCTTGAGCCAGTCTCACTGTCTCTGACACACCAGCTGCCATTTGCCACAGTCATTGTATCAGTCTCCAAGCACTGGTCCCTCCTGGCCATGAGCCCAAAGTAGATGAAACAGAGCTTCACAATCATTCAACCAAGGAACAACTTGGTTTCATTCTGCAGAACAGACCTGTTTGTTTTCTTGGCAGTCCATGTTAGGTTCAGTCCTTTTCTCCAGCACCACAATTCAAAGGCACCAATTCTTCTAGCTCTCTGATGCATAGCAAATAATTGAGAAGACCGTGGCTTGGATTAAGTGCACCTTAGTCTCTAGACTGACATCGTTGCTCGAATTTTACTTTGGGCATTTAACAGTGCCACATGATTTTCATAATGGTCATCATATCTCAATTAATTCTCACGTGACACTGAAGGAGGAAGGCTTGGGTCTGATCTAGCAGAATAGGAAAAGGCTTTCAGGTGTCAAGTACTTGCCAAAAGGTTTGATAACTATCAAAATCTATGTTCTAACCACTCCCTCACAGTCCCGGGGGTGCATTGGTTAAGGGTTCACCTGGTAAAAGGTTAGCAGTTTGAACTCAAACAGTGACTGCTTAGGGTAAAGACCTAGCCATCTGCTCCCATAAAGATTATAGCCCAGAAAGGCCAGGGGACAGTTCTTCTCAGTCGCATGAAGATGCAGTGAGTTTACTGTCTATGAAAATGCACCTAAAGCCAACCACCACTGCATTAGGACTGGCCTGGGGAATCTGGAAGGAATTAGCTTCTCCAGAGTGTAGTCCCAGTGGGAGGAACTCCGAGAGAGGCAGTGTTTCTCCACAGAGGAAAACACTTTCCAGGGGAGGGGACCCTTGTTTTGAGATACTTGGAATTCAGTTGGGATTGAGAAGATCTCTGATTCTAAATTTGTGACCAACCCGAGGATCCATTCCCTGTGGGTAAAATTCTTTGGTTTGTTTCACTCTTGAAGCTGTGTTTTTCCTAGTTTATGTCTTCAAGAAAAATATCATTCCTTTCACTTTGGCTTGGTTTTATGTAATTAGCTTTCTCGGGCTGGGGACATGGGTCCAGCTGTTAAAAATGGCTGCTTGGGGACATTTCTACGGGGGTTATGCCTGGCCTGTCGTTTCCTTGACACCACAGCACCCCCTAGTGAGCTGCTGGAGATCTGCGAGCTCAGCCAGGAGAAGATGAGTTCTGTGTTCGAAGACAGTAACGTGTATATGCTGCACATGATGTACCAGGCCATGGGTGTCTGCTTGTACATGCAGGACTGGGAAGGAGCCCTGCGCTATGGACAGAAAATTATTAAGCCCTACAGGTGATTGCTGTGGCTGTTCTGCGCTTCCTGGGACAGAATGGAGTGTGGTGGTTCGTAGCATGCACCCTCCTGGCTGTTGTCTTCTTCGTGCACCAGTGCCTGGAGCATGCCTAGGACAGCTTTCTCTTCTCTGCACCCACATCTGGAGGGACAGGTATAGGGCGCTGCTTCACTGGCCAGGTCTACCTCAACCATCTAGAGGAGACCCTGAGGGAGACATTGTTAGGGGCGCTGGGCATACTCCTTTCCAGGGCACCCCTACCAAGGGTTATATCCATAACAGTGAATTCCGAATAGTTTTGTTGTTTTTTTAAAAAAAAACAACCCTATTTGTTTCTTTTCCCACCCTTCTTCTCAAGTTAAATGCCACCTATTGGAAACCCTCCTTGTTGGTGTGTACTGTCAAGTCAAAACCAACTCAAAGCTCCAGCGGGTTTTCATAGACAGTGGGAGGAGATTGCCCATCTTTCTGCCACGAAGCAACTGGTAGATTCAAATCCGGTACCTTCAGGTTGGCAATGCAACACCTCACCACCAGGACTAATCTCTTCTTTCTCAGATTACAGCTTCTGTGTGCGAAGGGGGAACCTCGTGGAGCACTGGGTTGGCTGTGATAGTTTCACGTCTCCACTCGGTTGTGAGCTGGAATCAACTCTGCCTTCGAGTGGTAGTGGTTGAATATGTTAACTTGGAATGGTGAAGTTGGAAGTTTCCTGACTGAGACGGTTGTTAAACCTTCAGAGGAGTGCCTGACGGGAGCCGAGGCATTTTCTTCTGGTCATCTTGCTAGCTACTTCCAAGCCCAGATCTAGATCTGAATCACGGGGACATTAGTACATGTATGTTGCACATTGATCGGATCAGCCACCAGCCAAGTGGAGCGGAATGTCTTGGCATTAAACTAGAAACCTGGGTGTTTAAGAAGCACTCTGGGTGTGTAAACTAATCAGGAGCCCTTGGTATTGGCTTAGGTTCTGAGACTGGGGACTGTTAAATTCTGCTTTTGTCTGAATTCACGACTAATTCTGCCCTCCACCTCTCCTTCATTTCTCCGCTTAGCCAGCAGGGGGAGCCCAAAGGGAAGCTAGCTCTTGGAAAGGGAATTTGTTCCCTTCCTTGTAGGAAGGTGAGAAACTCTTCTGTTCTCATAGACACTTTTCTCAGTGAATTCTCTCGTGGGATCACTGATGAGTGTCTCAGCCTGGGATCCTCCCAGCAGAGCCAGTCTGTGCTTATACTCTGCCTTAGCCACGTGAGTGCCGCCCTGAAGTCCTCTTCTGGGGCCCTAAACCCAAGTTCTCACCAGGCAGCATGGCTACCTCTAGCCCAGAAATATAGCTGCAGCTTTTTAGAATAAGCTTTTAGGATACATTGGGTAGAGCAGATTTGTCTGTAAATAAACACCTGCTGGAACATAGGTAATCTGATTACTTAGTGGTAAGGAGTTTTTGCTGCCAGCCTAAAGGCACATGGTTCAAATCTACCAGCTGCTTCATGAGAAGTAAGAGAGGCAGTCTCCTCTTATGCAGGTTACCTGCTGGAGGATCAGCTACGAGTCGTTTCCAGCTCAACAGCATGCAACAGCAACAACTGGAATGTAAAACATACACACTCTGATGTTCAGTTAGAAATGGCCCTGTTTTCAACAGGCCTGAGTTCCACTGAATGTAAAGCCTCCTGCTGGACAATGAAGAAAGTGTCTCTGGAAGATACAGCTCTTCTCTTGACTTCAGAGAACTTACTGTTTCAGTGGAACAACTGCTATCACAGAATGGGACAGAAAGTCTTAACACATACATACCCCCAAGGGAGCCCTAGTGATTTAGTGATAATGAATGAGGTTACTGACACAAAGGGATACAGTTTGAATCCACAACCTGCTCTGTAGGAGAAAGATGGGCACTTTCCTCCCATGTGATTTACAGCCTCTGAAAACTCTCTGGAGAGTAAGCTATGAATTGGCTCTGACACAGTATCATTGAATTGAGTTTGATCTTTCCAATGTGAGATTTTTAGGCCTGATTGCTGTCCTGCACTGAATGAAACATGTACTTTTTAGGGGGGGGGGTGGATGGGTTTTTTCAGCCTCTTCCTTTGATATAAAACAAAACAGGCACAGAATGCTCCGATGGCCCAGTCCACAGGGTGTTGTGCAAGCCTGAAGAGTGAGCCTCTCTGGGGTTTCTAGTCCACCAGCCCCTCTGTGGGAGAGAAGATGGACATCTCCCATGTGGTGTGCAGCCCCAGAAACCCCAGTGGAGGGCCAGCAAGGACTTGGGGTTCTGACTCAACAGCAGTGACTTTTGAGTTTTAGCCCTGGAATACCTGAAATACAGAAATTTGGACTGGATTAGATGATTTGGGGTAGGACTTCTGGTAGTTCTGGAGCTTTTGAGACCCACACAAACTACACAACACACAGTGTGTCCGTAATGGGTAGGTGGGAATCTGCTGAGGCCGCTGAGGCCCCGCTTCTGTGGAGAATTGGGCCCTGAGTTCAGCCAGCATAGCTGCCTCACTGAGCCTGTCTCAGGGCGGAGCTCAGCAGCCTTTGACCAAGTGACTCGTTTTCTTCTCTCTTCTTCCAGTAAACATTATCCTTTGTACTCCCTCAATGTGGCCTCCATGTGGTTGAAGCTTGGCAGGCTGTACATGGGCTTGGAAAACAAAGCTGCAGGCGAGAAAGCTTTGAAGAAGGTAGGTCCTTGGACACGAGTCAGTGCTGGTAGGGCCTGGGTGTCCCCGGGGCACCTGTTCATAAGGCTGCACACTCTGAAAGGCCCTGTTTAATGGAGAATGGTTCACTCTTGGCCCACCCTTGGGCCGTGGTAGTGGGACAGGAACCGTGTCTGTACTCCACTCACCCTCTTCTCATGAATGGATGCACTCTTCGGGAGACTGACTGGGCCACAGACTCAGCCCTGAGCATGGGGGAGAGAGAGTGCTCACTGTCTTGCTCCTGCAGGAAGCCTGGAAGTGGGCTAAGGCTATGGGGTGGATCACAGACCATGGTGACGGAATTCTCCATTTGTCTGTACTCTAGGATTTATAGAATTACCTTCCCAAATATTGATGAAATGGAACGGGTTGGATATTTAGAGTTGCTTGATAGATAGTTTGCATGCCAGAGCCCTCAATTAGGATTTCTCCCCCAATTCTTAATGACAAAATGGAGGCTCATGTAGGTTAACTAGCCAGTCGCGGGTATGTGGTAGGGTCTAAACTCAAGCTGGGGTCTTTTTTTGAGCCCACAGCTCCAGGTCCTTCCTCTGGTGTCGGGGCCCATGGGGACTGCAGACCCTAAGTGTGTTCACTTGTTGATGCTGGGCTGTCGGTAAGGGCAGCTAGGCCCTGACCCTCACCTCCTTCAGCAGTTCACAGCCACCCTTTTGAATACTGACCCACCATTGTTCACCATGTGAATGTCCAAAGGCCATATGCTGTAGCCCTTGGGAAAAATCTATTTTCATACCCCATCAGAGAACATTTATATGTGCTGGAATTTGGAGACCTCATCATCCAGATTGCCAAAGCTGCCCAGTAGGCTGTTCAAGATAATGGAAATAAGACCCCACATCAAAAATGGAAGGATAGGCCAACCAGGCTATAGGTGTGAGTTAAGCATGGCATGTCCAGTTTTTAAACTATGGCATTTTCTTCTTAAATAATGTATTTCCTTGGTGAAGGCAATGGCATGTGTATATTCTCTGAGAGGTTAGGGAAATCAGGAGAGAGGAGAATGCCTTTTGAAACAGGTGGCTCCTAAAAGTCTGCCCTGTTCCTTAGCCTGCCTCCTATTGAGGTAGGATAGAGGATGAAAATAATACAACATAAAGGTATGTGGGGAAGAAAACCAAACCAAAACCAAAGGAGTGCTTGCCATAGTCACAGACCTTCAAAAATCCACATAAGGGACAATGATTTTAAGTGTTTCTGTCTGTGAGCTTTATACTTAATTAAAAAAGAGCAAAAGAAATTCTAGTAAATTACATTTAATACATGTTTTGTGTATGTCTGTTCTAAACACTGAGTATTAATAACTGAGAAGTAGGTATTATTTCTTTTACAAATTATGGAAATGAGGTGCAGAGCGGTTTACTAAACTGTTCATGATCACAGAGCTTGGGTGGGAGGAAGCCACCAGAAATTCCACCACTTCCTGCAGCCTCACTGTAAAGAAATCCCGAGGAGCTCGGCCGGTACCCACGTAACTGCTTGGCTGCCACCTGGAGGGTTCGCAGAGTGGACCCACCGTGTTTTTCCATGAGAGTAAAGACCTGCTGACCTGCTCCCACAACAGTAACACTCTGGGAAGCCCTGTAGGGCAGTCCTCTGTCCCGTGGAGTCACTGGGTGTCAGGGTCGGCAGTAGACCACAAAAGAAAGACATCTGAATAAACATGTTCTCTGTAACTTTTGAAAAATGAAAACAGTAGCTATTTTTTTAAAATGTTTTAAAATAAAGAGGGAAGATTGTCCATTTTAAAAGAGGGGAAAATAGTTTCATGTTAACTAGATTGCTTCTCTAGAAAAAAGAAAAAAAAACTTGCCTCAGCAGTAGAGACTGGATGACTAGACTAGTCCCTTGCCAAATGGAATTGTGTCACACTTTTAAAGCCAGGTAATGTAAAACATAGGTTCAAAAAGCTTGTCTGCTGGTATTCTAGGCCTTAAGCAGAGAGGTCCAACTTGAAATAGTTTGCCTGGGTGGAGGTGTGAGGGATTTGGTGCTGGACTCTTACCCCTCATTTCTTTGTCTTTCTCTTCAGGCCATTGCCATCATGGAAGTGGCTCACGGCAAAGATCACCCATACATATCTGAGATCAAACAGGAAATTGAAAGCCACTGAAACTATGCAGCATCTTAGTTTTTATTTTAATACACGTGCAGAACCTTAATATTTTTGAATATTTAAAATCCCAACCCTGCAACCCAGCAGTTCTGCTGAACAAAAAATTGGAATGAAAATACTATCTGCACGTAAACCTTGCCCATTGCTTCCTTGGAGGTTGGTCTTAATCTTTAACCTTAATATAAAATTTAATTTTTGAATGCTTTTTTTTCTCTTTCCCTAAGAGATATGGCATGGTTTCATATAATTTAATATACTTTGGAGAAGTCAAGTTTTTAAAATGCAATTATTCTTCCCTTTGTGCCTGTTGTTTGGGTAGATTGGATGTTAAAAATGCAATTCTTTTCCCCTTTATGCCTATTGTAATGTTCTTAACAAGGCTGGGTGATGGAGAATAAAAAGATAACAGTATCTGAGAGTGGTGTCTTATTCTTTCAGTGAGAACTTTTGAAGCAGTGGTGGGAGCCTAGCCTTTGGGGTTGGGAGTGTCACTTGTCCAGTGGCCACTAGTGACCCCAGGTGTCCCCTCAGCTTGTGGGGTCTGAGCCTGGGTCCTGTGCTCGTGTTCAAAGCACAGCACCTGAGGAGCCTGGGGAAGACGATGCGATGAAAGCAAAAAGGTGCAAGAACTGAACATGACAGAGTGGTCCAGCAAGCAGAGTACCCCTTCCTGTCCCTACACTGTGTTATTTTTACTTCCTTTGTTGAGGACCCTGGTATCCCTCAAAATACAGACAGACACTTAATGCCAGCTTTGCCTTCTTGCTTACTTAAAATATCTGACAGCAAACTTTCCATCTTGTCGCCTCCTCTTGATTGTTCCGCAGGGCAGTGCTCCCCTTGTTTGGAAAGACTCCAGGGTAATCTTGAGAAAGGATTTTTTTTTCTCCTTACCAACTCTGTGTTTTGTTGACCAAACATTCATCTCCACCCGCCCTGCCAGCAGGAACCCTGTTTGCAGCCCCACAGCCTGCACGGACTCAGTAAATAGTGCTGCAGAGAAGCCTGGTGAATGCAGGGTGTTTCTTTTAGGAGAGTTTCTTAGAATCCAAGGAGAGAAACACCCTGTAAATCAGTAATTAAAGACTGTTGGGTTTACACGTAAAAGACCTTTCATTGTCATGACCAGTAAACAGCTTGCACAGTTGTTAATCTTCTCTGTTACCTTCTTTGCCTCCCCTTCCGCTCTCCTCATCCTTTCTCCTCCTCACCCTAACATCTCTGTCTCACCCCATTAACTCTGAATGGAGAGATCCAACAGGTCTCACACACTCCGTTATTTTGGGGAAGTCCAAAATGTCATTTATTTGTCATCTACTATATGAGAAGTGCTCTGGATTCAGGGATTAGTAAGTCATGGACTGAGTTGAGTACCACTCACAATGATCCCATGAACAGACCTGACTCCTGTCCTGTCCTATGCCAGCCTTATCTCTGATATACTGGATCCCGTTGCTTCAGTCACTGTGTCAGTGCATCTCATTAGAGGTCTTTCTCCACCTTTCCAAGCATGATGTTCCTTTCTAAGGAATAGCCTCTCCTAGCAACATATTCAAAGCTTCACCAGCCTTGCCTCCAAGGGTCACTCTGGCTGCACTTTCCCCAAAACATATCTGTTCATTCTTCTGGCAGTCTATGGAATATGCAATACTCTTCTCCAGTGTCACAACTCAAAGGCATCAATTCTTCTGTTATTCATTGCCCAGCTTTCAAATATCACATACAGATAGTTCTTAAAAGAACAATGTTAAAAAAAAAAATAGAACATAATGTTCAGGGCATACTTTTTAACAAATTAAGCTAAATTATTGTTTGGTTTAAGAGGCTAATTTTGAAATAAGGTTTAAAGATTATCTCAAGGCTATAATTTCAGGAGTTCATGTACCCTTCATGACTATAAACTCTATAGAGTCCATGAGAATCTTTGAAATTCTGCCATTTCCCCCTTTAGATCAGGATTACTCTCTGGAATCTTTCTGTGATCTTCTGGCCCCATAGCAAAGGAAACAGTTAACCAAGGAAGCATTTGGCCACACATTCTGCAACCACTTCGTGGTCCTTCCTCTGTTCCAGGAGGATACAGAACAGTTACGTTTTGAATGAATGTTGGTAAGCTTTTAAGTCACCAGGACTGAGAGGTCAAACAGAAGCACAAACTAGGCCAACTAACTAGGATATCCTATGAAACAATGACCCTAAACCTCCAAACTAAGAAACCAAATTCCATGAAGTCTCTGGCAGAACCCTTAGTGCCTACTCTTTTACTTTGCTTTCTTCTTCTTTTTTTTTTTAAAAAAAAAGATTCTCAGGAAAATTCACAATGAAATAGTGAGATCCCCACCCCCACTTTAAATATGGCCACACTTATTTTTAAAATTGCATCAATAGTATGTAGTAGTACTCATTTTCCTTTACCCTTATAAACGCTATTAAAATATATACTGTTCTCAGTTCCACAAGGACAAATACTGTATAAAACTATTATTGTAGAATAAGTATGAGGATCCAAGATGGGGGGAGGGTAGAAATGGAGGGGTAGGTTGTTAATTTGATGGATGGATGGGGTGAAGGAAATGGGAAGGATCTTTTGTGAAAAACAATGTATTCAAACTTTGTAAATAAATCAATAAAATTTTAAGAAAAGTGTGTTGTAATGTACAGAGGAATATTTTGTCTTAAATTAATTTCTCTGAGATGTTGTAATGTACAGAGGAATATTTTGTCTTAAATTAATTTCTCTGAGATGTTGTAATGTACAGAGGAATGTTTTGTCTTAAATTAATTTCTCTGAGATGAATATTTTTTCACATATTTAGAAATTATTGTATGTCATTTGTGGTTTGTGTCCATGACCATTCTTATTTTGTCATTTGTTGATGTCTTAATAATTTGTGATGACTGTATCTCAAAGAATGTTGTATTAGCCATTTGTCTTATGTTGACAGAATTTTTTTTCTCATTGCCTATAACTTGATATTTTTCATAATGGAGAAGAGATTGAGGTTGTTAACAATCACAGCTTGCTCGGCTCCACAGTCAACACTCTTGGCTCCAGCAGTCAGGAATTCAAACAATGAATTGCACTCAGAAAATCTGCTGTCAGGGACCTCT